CCATGTGTGTGTGTGGCTGTAGTGCCCATGTGTGTGTGTGGCTGTAGTGCCCATGTGTGTGTGTGGCTGTAGTTCCCACGTGCGTGTGTGTGTGTGGCTGTAGTGCCCATGTGCGTGCATGTGTGTGACTGTAGTACCCATGTGTGTGTGGCTGTAGTACCCACGTGTGTGTGTGTGTGTGTCTGTAGTACCCATGTGTGTGTGTGACTGTAGTACCCACGTGTGTGTGTGTGTGGCTGTAGTACCCATGTGTGTGTCTGTAATACGTGTGTGTAACAAGTTTCAGATTGAGAAGACCGGGATAGATGGATTCAGGAGGGAAGCGCTGGCGGTCCGCCATCTATGAGTGACACTTTTTATTGATATCCGTTTCCTATTTTTCAGGCACTTGAACCTGAGCGTGCGCCCGAAGCAGCTCTCATCACTGGTGCGGAGCGGAGTTCCGGAGGCACTGAGAGGGGAAGTGTGGCAATTGCTGGCGGGGTGTCACAACAATGACTACTTGGTGGAGAAATACAGACTGCTCATCACTAAGGTAATGTGATATCTTCAATCCTCCGAGCTGACACCATTGCATTGTCTGTGCGGCCGAATCGGTAAATGATCGCTCTGTGAACTCTCATTCAGGGATTTTCCTTCAGCGTGTACAACTGCAGTTGAGAAAACCAACCTGGCCCGTCCTCCCTATCCCCTAACCCAGGGGTGGGCAACTCTGGCCTCCAACCAAGCTGCAGGAATAAAGTGAGTCGGCAGAAGGGATGTTCTATGTCTCTGTCTGTTTGCAGTTTATTGTACAAGGGTGGGCAACTCCGGCCCTCTAACTGCACTTTTACTGCAAATCCCAACATGCCTCTGCCTCTGGGAGTCATGCCTGTAACTGTGAGCCTTGCAATGCCTCATGGGACTTGTAGTTCCATAACAGGTAGAGGGCCAGAGTTACCCACCCTTAGAATAACCTGGACCCATCACCCGCACCCAGGGGCTTACTTATCTCTTTGTAACAAAGGCATTCTCCCATAATCTTTACAGCCTGCACCCCCATCCTGGGGTGGGGAGAGCTATGTT